TCATTTAAAAACTGTTTATGGTATCTGGGAGGTCTGTAAAAAATAGCACACAGAACTGGGTTGGAGCAGCCCAGCTCACAACAGAGCAGTTCAAAACGCAAATAATTAGCTGAACCATGGAGCTGTCTGCAGTGGAAATGTTTCTTAAAAACAGCCAATAATCCTCCACCACGACCAGTTGTCCTTGGAGCATTGCAAAACGAACAATCCGGAGGTAGTAATTCCAGAAAAACACTGAACTCACAGGGCAGATCCGTCTCAGTGATGAAAAGAAAGTCCAGTCGGTGGCAGCAGAAAAAGTCGTTCAGAATAAAAGTTTTATTAGCCAGCGATCTGGCATTTATCAGGGCCATCCTCGTAGAATCCACCACAGGAGGAGATGGTTGCAGTGACCTGTCCAGCGGCCTCAGATTTGCAGAGATAGATGCGCGCCTCCGGCAGGAAACCCAGCCGCGCACGGGCCCAGTGTGATGATGGGACCCCGACAGCGGGACCAGACAGCATGCCACAGGATCTGTACAGCGCCAGGAGCAGAGGTGGAAACGCTGACCATCAGCTGGAGAGGATGTTTCAGAGGCAGCAAGTAGGGCTTTAAGCTTCACCAGCCGGCCAGCGCGTTTTCCACGGCGTCTGGAGCGACGTCTCCGGGGAGGCAGGTGCGCGCCTCGCTGTAGGTAAGCAGGCACGTCCGCCAGCAGTGGGGGGACAGGGGGGGGGGGGGGGCCAGAGTTACGCTCATAATGATCAAAATAAGCGACATTGGTGCCACAAGGTCGAAGATCCAAAAGTTGTTTTCGTTCATACACCAGCAGAGCGTTGATGTCACAGATGAGAAATGAAAAAAACACCAAAAATAAGAACACCATCAGCAGAGGTGGATTGCAAGCCAGGCGCCATCTTACCAGAAGTTATACAATTATACAGAACAGTCAGTGGTCACAAATATTTTCTCTTATCATTGTCAGTATTTTACTTGTCATGATGACAGGTGCGGCACTGCCTCACCTGCCTCCCCTGACTACACATCACTGGAACATACTTTTGTTCTACAAAGTTCTGTTCTGGTAACTTCAGGTTTAATACAAGAAAATAGTGGTTTGTAAGTTTGTCCTGGCTTACTCCTGAGCTAGCTGACCTCCTGCATAGGAGAGACAAGCTTTGGGCTGCAGAGAGAAAATCCGGCACGGACACTGTTTGGTTGAGTTTTCGACAGATGAGGAATAAATGCACAACTGCTGTCAAAGCCGCAAAACGTAACTACTTCTTATCTCAGACCTCCAAAAATCCAAATGACCCTAAAAGATTCTGGAAAATCATCAAATCTCCCTCTGGCACCCCCCAATCATCTGACCTCCCATCACAACTTCTCGTTAACTCTGTTCCTGTGTCAAATAAGCACGAGATCCTGAACTGTTTCAACAAACATTTTGTTGCTTCTAGTTCTTTATTTGACACAGTTACTAACAGAAAATCAGTCACTTCACTTAATAATCAAACTTCTACAAATCAAATCCCTCCTACAAGTCAATCTTCAGTAAATCACACATTTTCTCTTTCTCTGATCTCAGTGAGGTCAATAAACTGTTAAAAGGTCTAGACTCTAAAAAATCTGCAGGTCCAGATGAACTTCCACCTTATTTCTTAAGG